GAAGATGATAAACAGTAATCCACATGTAGCACTATATGCCTTACTGGTAAGAAATTAGTCTGTTTCCTGCATTAGAAGTCTCTTTCTCACTTTTGACAAATATTAAATATATTTCATTTTTAAGTTCAAAAAATGTATATTAGTCACAAAAATAAATCTATCATAATTTAAAAAAAAGATTGTTTATTGTTTGCTGTTTTATTAATGTTTATTAATATATTCAGGTACTGGAATCTTGTGTAAAAAATTGTGGAACATTGATTCATGATGAAATAGCTACCAAACAATACATGGAACAACTAAAAGAACTAGTTAAAACTTCTCCACATGAAAATGTTAGACTAAAAACTTTAGAGCTAATACAAGCTTGGGCTCACGCATTTCGTCATAGTCCCAAATATAGGACAGTTCAAGTGATAAATTATTATGTGTTATAATTATCAGCATATAATTTTATTTATTTATTTCATCTTTTTGTTATTCTTCTCAGGATACATTAAATATAATGAAAGCCGAAGGTTATCAATTTCCTGCTTTGAAAGAAAGCGACGCTATGTTTAGAGCAGATACTGCACCTGCATGGGCAGATGGTGAAGTCTGCCATCGGTGTCGTGTAACTTTTAGCATGGTTCAACGGAAGCATCACTGCAGAGCATGTGGTCAAGTCTTTTGTGGCCAATGTTCGAGTAAAGTTTCCACTTTACCAAAGTTTGGAATTGAGAAAGAAGTACGAGTTTGTGAAGCTTGTTATGAACAAGTTAACAAGTCAGTGAAATTTCTTATTTTATTTATCATATCTCTGTATTGTTTGGATAGTTTTTAAACGGTAAGTTTTATAGACCATCTACAACGCAAACCAAAGATACCGACCTTCCAGCAGAATATCTCAAAAGTACTTTGGCTCAACAGCAACAAGTAAGTACTTTGTTTTACTGAATTATAAATATATTACAATAACATTATATAAATGTCATTACACTTAATATAACATGTGTAAATATAAAACACTAATTATCTTTACTTAAATATAATCTACAATCAAATTGAGCATCAGTTTTTTTTAATTAAATTTAGAAATTTATAAAAGTTTATAAAAGTTTAATTATTAAAAGTTTAATAAAAACATCTCTTTAAAGAAAATTATCGTGTTATATACAGACTTAATTTGAATATCTGAAATATCTTTAACTGAAATATCTTTGTTATTCTAAATAAATAATTATTCTAAATAATCCTATAAGAAAAATCTAGTAAAAATTTAATTGCAGTTGAAATCTTCTCATTCATGCCCTATATATAGGGTATCCCAAAACAATTGCCAAATATTTTATGGGCGGGTAGAGCGGACTAAACTAAGTTGAAAATCCTTTATCATTTTGCAATTTTCGCAATACAAGATATCAATTACTAAAAATTAACAAGATATCAATTACTAAAAATTGCCGAAAAATGGTCTTCAATAATTTTTTACTTATATACAAAAATTGTTTATTTTCTACTCATAAAATTCTAAGAATTTTTTAATACCGTATTTTTTTTATATTTGTAAAAATAAGAAAAATGTAGTACTAAAAAATTCTGAAAAAATTCTTAGTTTTATGAGAAGAAAATTTTTGTCTCTTACAGTTTTTCTATAAAGTTAATAGTATTTGAGTAAAAAATTATTGAAGACCAATTTTCGACAATTTTTAGTTATTAATATTTTGTTAATTATTGTGAAAATTGTAAATTGTCCATTTTAAATAATTATGTGTACGAAGGTTATATTATGCTATTATGAAAAATTAAATTTAAAGAAAGGAAATTATTCTCGAAAATTGAATTTAAATTCTGATGTGGTTTTTTTAAATATTGTATATTATGGTTGCATTCGACTTAACACTCACGAGCTTCGTTTGTCCTCGTTTAACATTTGATAAATGAATAAGGATGTTTCCACAAGCATTGTGAACGTTAAATGGAACGTAGCTTATACAGTAATTCATTTTATACACACGTACATACATAATATGTATATTTATATTTTTATAGGTTCCAGTTCGAAAAACAGAAGAAGAACTACGAGAAGAGGAAGAATTAAATTTAGCAATAGCCTTAAGTCAGAGTGAAGCTGAACAAAAAGAAAAAGAAAAGAAACGTGCTACAAGCGTTTTAAAATCCAATTCAACTTCAATATCTAGAACAACATATTCTCCACCACCATCACCTGTAAGTGTTTTGTTGCGAATCTATATATAAAATTATTATAAACAATAAGAATATTATTGGACTGTACATGCGAAAACAATCTAGGAAATAAAAACTGTAACGATTAAGCTGGATTTTTAATGCTTAAATAATTTCATGTGTATACTATACAGGATATAACTCAGAACTCATAACTCTTAATTAATATTTTTGGGAGTGATGAAATTTTAAACTAAAAGTTTCTTTCCCAATTTTGACTCAAGACCTATATTCCTGAAAAGGAATGTATACGTATCTCATTATTTATTGAGTTATTAAATGAAGTTGATCAATCAGATAGCATCAAATTTCAATTTTTCAATCTCAATTTTCAATGCAGCCTCATGCTAACTTAACTCATTATGCAGTTGTTATGTGTTCATAACGATGTATAAATTACAGAGAATACTGAGGCAGCTGGAATATGCAGGAGTGCAGCGTATCATGAGGCTCCTCGCCCTTACTGTATATATTTCCTAATTAAATTTTTGTTATAATTTACATCAATTGATAAATATATAATTGATAAATAACTGAATAAATGGGTAGATACAAATAAATAAAAATAAATTACAGTTAGAAATTTATCCAATTTCTGACTTGTTTCTTATTCTTTTTTATTATTTATTTATTTGTTTAATTATTTAATCTATTTGTTCAATTTAGTTATTTAATTTCCCTAACTAATCTAGCAGCAATGAGGAAAAACTAACTGTGTATGTGCGTGCGTGTGTAAGTGGCATGTTTGTCACAGATATTAGAAAAAAATTATTAACAGAAAACATCAAAATAAATTGTTCGAACAACTTCAAAAATTTAATGTACGTGGCGTGCATGATTCTTACGTAATTTAAATATAAATCAATGGAGATATCAATTTTTATTTAAAATCAGTTTTTTTAAGAAATTATGTGACAAATTGTAAATAATTTATTTGATAATTTCATAATATTGACACGTATCAAGAAGTAGATAAATAAAGAGATAAAAAAATGACTGTTGACAATAAAATTAATTACATAAGTTAAATTATTACACGAATTTGTTAATTCCAGATTTAAAATGATTGCGCCATCGAATTGCAAGAGAAAAAATATGTATGAATCTTATGATACATGCCAATATTAAAAAATTATCAAAATGAATAATTTACAAACAATTCTTTAAACAGTTTTTTAAAGAACTGATTTTAAGTACTTTAAAAACTGATTGCTTCATCGGTCAAAATAAAATACATAAGAATCATGCATGTCAAGACAATTTTTTTCAAATTGTTTACAATTTATTTTAATAATGTTTTTTGCCAATAATCTTTAAATATCCATGCAAATATTCTATAGTTAGTTTTTCTCCTGCTTTTATCGCTGCTAGATTATCTATAGAAACTAAATAACTAAATTGAACAAAGAATTAAAAATTAAATTAAATTAATAAATAAGTAAATAATAAGTAAAAATAAAAAAACAATCAGAAATTGAATAAATTTCCAACTGTATTTTATTAATATGAAAAATTGTAATAAAATTTTAATCGGGAAAATGTACAGAAAGCGCTATGGTATGTTATGCTTCAGTATATTCCGATTGAGCGCAATCTGATTGATCAACTGTAATCTGATTTATTAACTGTATCGTTAATAACTCGATAAATAATGATTTGGATCAAAATTGGGAAAGGAATGTTAGTTTAAAATTTCATCATTTCACTCCTTTAGAAATATTAATAAGAGTTATGGGACCTTGTACCTCTGTATACACATACATACATTCGTACATATATACTATATTTGTAGTTATTTGAAATGTGCGTCGAAATTTTTTCGGAATTTTAAAACGAAGCAGAATAGATATTACTGTAGTAATATCATAATTAAATTTGATCATAGGCTCAGTATACTTTCACTAAAAAGATCTTGGTATACTGGAAATTTGTAAATAAATTTATTGTAAATAAAATTATTAAAATATTATCTCGGTAATAAAATTGTTATATTTATCAACAGCCTATCTTATTATATAATGAATTGCTATTATTACTATTTAATTCTCTGTGAAGTTCTTATTTTATTTTGGTTATAAAATTTTAGTCTAATATTTCTATTAGGGTCCTAGCCCATCACAGATTCAAGATGACGACGAGATCGAACCTGAACTTGCTAAATATCTAAATCGTAAGTATTGGGAACAAAGGCAAACTGCAAACGAAGATCATGGATCGATTGAACATGGGTCAAGAGTGGATGTGACTAGTCCGTCTGCACCTAATATAAGCAGTCCAATGCCTCAAAAACTAGTACTAATAAAACAAGAAAATGGTGAAATCGATACTCAAATGGAAGAATTCGTAAGAGGTTTAAGATCTCAAGTTGAAATTTTTGTAAATAGGATGAAAAGCAACTCCTCGAGAGGCAGATCTATTGCTAATGATAGTTCAGTTCAAACTTTATTTATGAATATAACAGCTATGCATTCCAGGTATGTCTAATTACACAAACTATAACTTTATTTCTAATATATTGAATTTTTTATTTTGATCACAGAAAACAATAATTTTTTTTTTTTTGTAGATTATTAAGATATATTCAAGAACAAGATGATAGCAGAGTATATTATGAAGGTTTGCAAGATAAATTAACTCAGATGAAAGATGCTAGAGCTGCTTTAGATGCTCTCCGAGAAGAACATAAAGAGAAATTACGTAGAAGAGCGGAAGAAGCCGAGAGACAGCGACAAATGCTAATGGCGCAAAAACTGGCAATCATGCGAAAGAAGAAGCAAGAATATTTACAATATCAACGTCAACTAGCTTTACGAAAGATTCAAGAACAAGAAAGGGAGATGCAAATGCGTCAAGAGCAACAGAAACAACAATATATAATGGGTAATTTTCAATTTTTTGTTATTTACAATTACGCATTTTTAAATCTATTTTATCATTAAAGTTATTTATCTCTATTTTTTGCAGGAAATTATCAAGGTATTCCAGATTTTATGGGACCTTCTCAAGGATCGCCTGTTCGCCATGTACACTATCCAAATCCAGGAACTAATTACAATCCAATGTCACCTACGAATCAAGGAGTTTATATGTATGGACAACCAACTATGAGTCAATATCCTATGCAGGGTTATAACATGCCACCGATGAATACTCTGCCAGTGCATATGATGCCATCACTTTCTAATCCGGAACAACAATCGCCGGATCCATCCATCCAAGGACAGGAGAATATAAGTCACGTGTCTATATCGGGCCCAGGAATAGTAAGTCTGAATAATAAACTTTTAAATGTCTTTGCCTTTTCTATTGATAAAAAAAAATCTGGCTTATTTTCACAATATATGATTACCTAAAAAGTAAAGGTTTCCAAGAGATTTATCAATGAATGAAATTCATCTATGAATTTCTTAATAACTTTTAATCTTTAGATAATATATTGTGAAAACCACGGACTTTAGAATACTTTTTCTTGTAGATACCGCCTCAAATGACACCATCTATTCAACAGCTTCAGCCACCGAGCAATCATCAAATAGAATCTCCGCAAGGTCCAACAGTACATATGTCATCGGGACAAACTTCAGCAGGCAGACATATATCACCTCAACAAGGCGCCTCGTCTCAAATGCCACAGCAAGTTTTTCCTCTGACTCAAATCAGGCTGCCTCCAATACCTCAAGGACACATGGGCCCTTCATCAGGTCCGATAACTTCGGGGAGTCACGTATCTACTGGTGTCATCATTGGTCTGTCATCGCAAATAGGATCACAATCGTCTACCTTACCTGGTACCCAAGGAGCTTCAATACCAACGCATGTTTCCAATACTGCTATATCATCTCAACCTTCAGGTGTTATTCAAGTGCCGTCTGCCGGAGCTAACAGCGGACCTGTTCCTGCAGCGAGTCAAACCTTACCTGGTTCTCAAACGCCTAATATACCAACAATGCAAGGAATGGCTCAAATTCCTGCTGTGCAATCAATGTCATTTCAACCTACTCCTCCAGTCGCAACTACAACTAACGAAATTCCTCAAGATGCAGAAGAAACAAAACCTAGAACAGCAGAGCTAATTTCTTTCGATTAAATTAAATTGAATATTATGTACAATATACTTAAAGACAAAAAAAATTTCTTTTTAAATTAGAACATTATAAAGAACATTATTATTAAATATTAAGAAAAATTAAATAACATTTGCTTATTTTAACAAATAAATTTTATCTCTGGTAATAAAGTCATAATTTTATATTTGTTGATTACTGACATAATAGTAAAAATGTTTTTAAGAAATATCAGAATAAAATACGAATATATATTTAAAGAAATATTATATCATTAGAAAGTTAGAAGATACGAATTCACTGCAGATTAGTTTTATAATACATATTGTGCATTTTATGATATCAAAAACTGTTTCATACATTGTTTTTTGAAAAAAAAAAAATTTGTTTATAATAAACATGTAACTATGCATATACAGAACTACAAATGCAAAATAAAGATACAATTTCTAATAAGTTATTATAGTTTACTTAGTGTATATTTTTGTATTCAATTCTTAAGTATTTAACTTTTTATGCTTTACAGTCAAAAGTTTAATTTTTTGGGAATTTATTTATTTAAAATGAATTAAGTGATAATAAATAAACGATTTATTAGGATCATATAATGTGAATACACAATAAGAAGCAATGCCTATATTGGTTGAAGCTGAATCTTGAGTGTCTTAAATAATTTCATGTGAATTTATATACCACACATTTATATCTCGAATTGCTCGCATGAAATGCTAGAGATCTGGATTCGATTTCCGAGATAATATTTTTTGTAATAAATTTATTTACAGATTTTCAATACATTAAGATCTTAAAATGATGTCAATTAAGCATGACATTATAAAATTGCTAATCAATTTGTGATATTATATGATAGTTGTGATATTATATGATAGTTGCGTTTCCAAGTTCGAAAAATCAATTCGGTGCGTAACTCGAGAGACTACAAACGTGGTATATGAATTCACGTGAAATTATTTAAAGCACTCCAGATAGATTTCGACCAGTATAGGCTTTGCTTCTTACTTATAAATAATTAATATCATCTAACCTTATATAACTTTCTTTATTCTCAAATTATATAGAAAAACTGTAATCTTCTCAAAATCTCAGGGATACATATACATATATGAAATAATTACACGAATTGTTGCACGATTTCTTTACCATTAAAGTGATAGTTACTTGGAATAGTATGTAGCGCGAATAAATTTTAGTTAAATTAAGAGATGTATCTATATAAATAAGGATAGTCTCAGTGATTTCTAATACAAAGTGCGACAATGTTATTAACAGCTTGCACCTCATTATTTTTTTCTGTGTTAGTCATAAGAGCTTTCATTGATATTATTATCACATATTTGATAAAAGTATCATAAAAATTACAATTTTATTTGTTATACGATAAAATTCATAAACACTAAATTTTTTTTATTAATTTAGTCAAGCAGGCTTTTTTTGCTAAATCAGAAGTATGGCATGTACACATTTTCATTCATCCTCTTAAGATTTTTTTTAAAGATACGTTTAGTTTGAATTAGTTTGCCTAATTTTAATCATACAGTTTCCACTTGACCTTTTCTACGTGGCTTTGATTCTTGCCTTTGCGGAGATGTGAAAGACGTTTCTTCAGAATGTTTCCTAATTACAGACGAGGATTCATTATTCGAACAAGCACCTTGACTGTCTCTCCTTTCTGGACATATATGCGTTACATTTAATCCATTGGACGTAAGAGAAGCTTTCCGAATACACATATCCTCCAGAGGAATCTCCTCGCTCCGCGGTCTTGGCATCTTAGGTGAACCATCTCTAGATCGCAAACTATTTTCATGAATCTTCTCATTTGAACTTGCATCATCACGTTTGGAACTCGACGATAGCACCGGCTTAATATTCTCTCTACGCATTTGTGCTGCAAATCCAGGAACTTTATTTACTGTAAACATCGGCCTTGCTTGATCTCTCTGCAGTCTTTGTCCAATTATACCTGAAAGAATTGAATCAATCATTTACGAAGATTCTATTGATTAATTCTAGTTTTAAACTTACGTTCATGTCGCAAACTACGCAAAGCATAATTGGGTGGTGTTGAACAATGAGATATACTCGTTGGAATATCCAACAATCTTGCAATCTGATTCATCTTCTTTTGTCTTGCTTTTATTCGTCCTTTTGTCAACCTAAATTATTGTTTGATCGATTTAATTAATTGAAATGATAATACGACTTTGATGTTTGCTACAAGACTAACCTTTGTTTAGCCGCCATACATCGAATATGATCATCAAAAATAAATTTAGCCGACAGCAACGGTATACGATTGCCCGTGCTGTTGCTTAATGGTTTATAAATTGTCAGATACAAACATCTTGAATCGTCCTTGTCGCCGGCCACATCAATATCTTGTAAAAAACCAACTAACTTTGCAACACCCCATCCGAGCTTACTGATATCAGGTTCCACAAGAATTAATTGCACAACATCAATGACTAAGAAACGGCGAATTTTCTGACCATCTTTCCACACGACAGTGCATGCAATCAAATCACTGTTATCTGTAAACAAAGTATAAATAACAAATCTTATGTTAATTGATAAACCATAACTTAATCTAGGACAATTAGGAATCCGCGCTGTAAGGCGCTTAAATTACTGGACGAAGTATATTGGAATGTATCAATTTTTAAATACAGACACAGAATTATTGAGTCTTTGTTATGATTGTTTTTTAACTTGATATATTATTATGTACGATAGTGACAACAATGTTTGACTTTATAAACTTTCATGTATATAATATTTGTATTAGTGTAACTTGAGACTCGCAACCGCTAAGATCGAGGTTTTAGTAAAATGATGATTGATATTTTTACGGTAGTCATTATCATAGTGATTATATTAGTAACACAATCTTGTTGAGGTTTCAAACTGTATAATTATCTCTGCATGCTTCCTGAGGTATCTGTCATTTTAATTATAATTTATATTTACTCTATGTATTCAGTATTCAATATTCAGTATTTTATTAAGGTTTCGAGCCCCAAGAGACCATCCAGCGTATCAACTGGCCATGGATAATTATTGGGAGATAACCGAGGGTTTCACATGTGCAGTTGTATTTTTGAATGTAAATGATATCAAGCTGAAGAAGGCTAGAATTTAACTGAAATGTATTTGTATTTAATTATAATTGTAAATACATTCCAGTATACTGAGATTCGTCCAGTAATTTAAGCGCACCGATTACAACGCGGATTCCTAATTGCTCTAGATTAAGTTATGGTTTATCAATTAATTTGTTATTAGAAGGAATCTTATCACGATTATTTATAGAATTAAATCTTGTGTTGTTTATCTAATTTTACTTATAATTATGAATCAATGAATAAACAAAAATATTGTATATCAAATGTCACAAGTTAACTCTGTCACTTTTTTAATAATTAACCATGTGGATAAGATAGATAACTCTTACTTAAATCAAGAACGTTGTTAACTTGTACGCAATTAGCTGGATTAGTCAGAGGTAATTGTGTTTCCACTTCCATATTGAGTATTAGAGATAGTTCTCTTATTAAAAAAAAAACTCTTATCGCACGACGTGCCCTTTCCACCTGCACACAATTATTCATGATTTTATTCTCTTATTATATAATGTGTGTGATTTTTCTGCAGCTTTATATGTTCATCTAAAAATATATTTCTTTGTGTTTCTTCCTACCTCACCACATGGTAGCCTTTTACTAAATTCAATTCCAGTCATAGGTGTGCCTGTAGGTGGCAACAAAATATTACTATCCATCATTAACCATTCGACATTTAACGGTCGTTTTTGTATTTCGCTGTATTCATCCTCAAACATATCCAAAAAAATGTCTTCGCTCTAAACAAAATTAATATAGAATATTTTTAAGAATGCATTTGTAAGTCAAGAGGCAAACAAAACTTGCGTTTAATACAATTTCAATAATTTATACACCTTGTAGAAATTTTTGAGCAGAGATGTGCTTTGTTCTTTCGCTGCTTCAATGACTGCTAGATGCGATTCTCGTAATAAGCATTGTCCTTCAGATATTGTCAGTTGTGTTAATAACTTGATAGTTAATTCCAATGTAACAAGCCTTACTTTGGAATCTAAAAAAGAATTAATTTTCTTATAAAACTTAGAAACTCAAATCACTTTGTGATATATGCAAATATTAAATTCGCATAAATTATAATTATGGAATTATTGCACAACTCACTTGTTTGACAACTCAAAGTTATAATATGAATCAACCTATCCATGAGTAATTCATTATAGGAATTTTTCGTCGATGTATTATTATGAAATGGAGATAAGATTATATCCAGAATTTTACGATTTATACCCTGGTAAACAACAAAATTAACTTATTATTATAAAAAAAAAACATTTATAAATAAGACAAGTCTGTATCAGAATTTATAATTACCTGATTATTAGCTAATGCATATAATAAGCAAAGCGCGAATAATGCAGCATAATCATTTTCTGTGCATAATAAGGAATTGGTTATTGTTTCTAAAAATGGTTTTTTTGTTAAAGATTCAAATAAGTTATTTTGACTTTGATGAGGTAAAGGACTCTCCAATGCTAAGCGTTGTTCTTTTTCCTCATCCGTTACATTCAATTCATGCTTAATTTCCTCTAAGTCCTCTTCACTTGAAATGCTTGTATTTAATGATGTATTTGTAAGAACAGGAGTATTTATAGGGGTTGAAGCATCGTCAAAAGACGTGCTTGGGTGATGAAATTCTTGCAATTCGTCAATTGCATTTTTAACTACTTCTTTTATATTTCTTATACTTTCCCGAGCTTGCAATTCTTTAGATGTTGAGCGTATTTCATTTAAAATTTCCCAAGATTTTTTTAATGTTTCTTTCGGAAGTGAGAAAGTAACAGATTTATTCGATATTATATCTCCAAATTTTTCGAGAACACTATTTGTTCCAACTTGAATCGTCTCTAAATCAGACATGAGCATTACAGTCGCTAACGTATGTACAAGAGGTTCATGCGATACTATCAAAAAGACTTGAGAAAGTAGAAAAAGCGCTA